TCCGAGATGCTGAAAGGAGGAGGCTGAGCATCCGGGGAGGATGACGCCAAGGGGAAAGGGTGTGCCTGGGAGGTGCTAGACTTTGCCAACTGACTCAGGAAGTAGTTCTGACATCAACTCTCAGAAGCAGCAGCTCATGCAAAGGCCCCACCAAAGGGGCAATGCCAGGAATTGGTGAGGCTATCAAAAAGAAGCAACTAGAAGAAGTCTGGGAAAGAGAAAGAAATCGGTGCAACAGAAACCCCTAGAGGACTTGAGGCTACACAAGGACGCCAGGGTACTTGCACGGAATACGGTCATTCGGAGCCTTTGCAATATGCAGGGCAATTTACAGGGCCATGATGAGCAAGGTGGGAGAAAAAAGAAAAGACAAGACAGAGAGGCTGTTTTCCTTCACTTCTCTAACTGCAAAATCTCCCCTTCTTTCCTGACCTCCATTCTCTACCGTGATGTTTTTTTGTTTGTTTGTTTCGTTTTGTTTTTCTGTTTTTGTTTTTTCTAATGATAGTGCTGGAGAATTTGGTATCACAGATAGTAAATGTAAAGGTACAAATGGACAGAAACGGGGGAATTCCCAAATCACTCTTATTAGAGTGTGTACGTGTAGTTCTCTTACTCTGGAGACTAGAAATTCAGCTCCATGTTTAAAAGCTTATGAAGATAGCATGATACTGTGCAAATAGACACAGAGGTGTTTATTTTAGTCTTACCATTTCTTCCTAAGAATATGTAACTCAAGAGCAGTTATTCTGAAAAGGGGGTGGATAAACACACAAAATTCAAGAACCTTTATCATTGTGATCCGCAAAAGCCATGTAGGAGGCGGATGCCGCCCTAAGCCTTTTGTGAATTTCCCCTTTCACACCACAGAGGCATGAGACAGATGGCACTTGTACCGGTACATCATTTCTTCATTCTCCATTGTATATCATCCAAAAGGAAAGAAAATGAAAACGATGCTAATCAGTAAACGGCGAGTTTCTAGGTAGACACTGCATGTCAAGCCTGGCTCCCACTTTGGGAATAAATGTAAACATAACAATGTGATAAAATGATGTGATTATAAGAAGCAAAACCACCAAAACTACCACCTTTCACAGAATGTCCGGGCAGGCCTCTCACAAATAACTAATGAAGCAAACCACTCAAATGGAAAAGCAGAGGAAACACACACAGTGCAGAATTTTTTAAAAAATGTGTCAGAAAATCCCCAAACTCTATAGATAGTTCTATAAAGCCCTCCCCCCTTTTTTTTTTACAAATTGTTTCCTTCCCACATTACTTAAACACATCATAGACATTTAGCATCTGCTTCTAAGGATTAATGAAAACAGTCTCTCCATGCCACCCCCTACCTTATTCTCATCAGAACCACGTTCACGTTCCTTTACTGATGGCTTAGGTCCATACATGAGAAGCCCAGGCATACATTTACTCTGTCCTTAGACAGTCACTCAACAAATATTTAGATATTTACCAAGTGCCCACTATGGGCCAAGTAGCATTCTAGGCATTATAGATTCACCAGGAAATCATCATCATCATCATCATCATCATCATCATCATCATCATCCCTGCTTTCGTGGAGTTTACAGGTTAGTTGAAGAGATGGATGATTAACAAATAAATATTGAGTTGTCGGAAAAGTCATGACGCATTTTTTGCAACAAAAAAAACAGAAAAAAATAAGTCATCACTTTTCCGACAACCCAATATGTCATACATAAGATGCTTAAAAGAAAAATAAAGTAGGCTAGAGGATACAGAGGGATGGGGTGGGTGCTATTTTATACAGGTCAGGGAAGGCTACTTTGAAAAGGTAACTCGAAAAGTCCTACTTAAAGAAGCAGAGACGCTTAGGAAAGAAACAGAGATCACTGCCTCCTTGCTTATACACTAAACAATATTTGAGTAAGTAAGAAGGTGGGCAGTGTTTAAAAAGTTAATTTCAAAAGTGGCTCATGTTTAACTTTCAAAAAGAACAATGGGTGTGGAGCCTAAATATAAATGAATAAAACTATATTCTTAGAAAGCGCTCAAATGAATACCTTTGAACTGTCACATGGTGTCTGGGGAAAGGGTATCATGATGGTGACAGACATAATCTTTTTTTTTTTTTTTACCATAAGACTGTGCTCAACATTTTAAAAACAGTTGTAAATTAAAGCTGTGCCAAATCATTGACTTTTAGAAGCCAAACAGGGTAAAATGAAGGTATAATCTGCCTCATCCAAGACTGCTACTTTATGCAATGTTAGCCACTGGAAAAACCACCAGAGCTCATTTAACTCAACTTTCTCATGTTACTCATCATAAAATGGGCCCCTCAGGCTTCCGGGGGCCCAAGGTTAAACAGTTAACTGCAGCAGCATGTGTAAAACCCAGGTCTCCTGACTCGTCAGTTTTCATTGCCACACCTTTCTTGTACAAGATACACATCTCAGAGCTAGCTTTCGGGAACAAAGTGCATCTGCTAGAAAGATGGTGGCAGATTTGAGAGGTGTTTTAATGCGGACAAGAAAGGGAGTACTGCAGAGGTAATGAGTTTGGGGTGCAGTTGGCAAGGACTGCTGAGGATGGACACCAGTAATTCCAATGGCTGCTATGATTATTACTCGAGTATTCACATACCCACAATCATACCTCATCTATGTGTAAGCACACATTCTTTGAATATTGCCTGATTTCCCTATCGCAATGGCACAGGCCTTGGGACACCCAGGACACCAAAGTAAGGGGAAAATATAAACCCAGTGTTGTAAAAATGCATCAAGATTACAAAAAGTTACTAAATTTCAAAATTTACTAAGAAAACTAGGACACCCCCCACAAGCCCCTGCCAAAACCCAAGCAAATGTAGTTGGGAAGATAAAGTCCTCAGCGCTAGAGGAGTTCATAGAGTTCAGTATTTTCTTCCTTTCTTTCAACCTACTCCATTTATAGAAGGATTTTGAAGTTACTTTAAGTTGACCATGTGGTATCTTAAAGTTTACATTCAGCGCTCCTTTGAAAACCTTACTTAATGTTTGAGACTTGACATGGTATCACATGAACAGTTCAAAGTAATGGTTTAAAAAAAACAACCCACACGCTTCAAAACAAAAACTATCCTGATTATAGTAACTGCACTGCTCATTCAAATGTAACCTGAAACCTAAAGCCCTTTTTCATAAGACACTTGTTTCCTAGGATAAAAACACTTTAAAAAACATCACCAGAAGTGCATTCTAACAGCTACCTGATTGGGAACATAATTTCTAGTAAAACACGCTGCTACTGTAGCACCCAAAGCTAACAGTGCCCCAAATTATTCCTTAATAGTGATAGAAATTTTCACAATAAGAAATGTTTTTTTATTAAGTATTAAAATGATTGACACAATGCTCTGCCCCGTATGGGGACCCCAAGCCAAGATGTCAACTGATCAATAAGCAAACAGCATGGAGCAATCTACAGACTCACAAAATAACACTTTATGGGGGTTAGTAAGACTTGTCCCAAGGTTGCAAATTTACTTGACCTTGACCATAGGACCAGGGATACAATTCAGGTCAATTGATTCCAGGAGCTGTGTACTTTCCACTAGAACCAATGTGCTCATATCTACAAAATGGAAACACATTAAAACACCAGCATCTCCCATCATCCATATACTACAAGGCACTGGGAGATTTTGAATTTTATAAGCTTATTTTAATATAACTAGATAACCCATTTATATGAATAAATATGCATATTTTAATTTAAATTTTCAGAAAACCATGAAATAAAAAAACTTCAGTAGAAATTTTTCTTTTCAATGTGAATGCTTTTACTCCTTGAGATATGCCCTCGTATGACTGCATTTTGCTTTTAAAACTCTTTTAAGAAACTGAAAAAAAATAGGTAATAAACGCCTGGAAAATTTTCCTGAGTAAAATATTAAGAAACTAAAAACTTAATATACAAAGTTATACACACACACACACACACACACACACACACAACACATATATGCATATATAAAACACAAATATAGGTATTTATGTATATACTATATATATATATATATACACAAAAATGTATAATATATATTAAGTTTATATACATACACAGACACAGACACACACACAGACACACACACACACACACACACGAAAACAAAAAAAACCCTAGTCGAAGCTGCCTCTTGATTTTCTAACATTTGAAGGAAATATGTTCCTAGGCCATCCTGGGCTTCCTGTAGCTGTCTTCTTTCCTGGCAAAACTCATCTAAATTCTTTTTGGTGATACAGACTAGCAATAAGGTAAAATTTCCAGAAAGCAGAGGTGGTCAAACCCCTGAGTTTCATGACGGATAAGCTCTTTGAAACCTAACATGTACTGTCTCTTCAGTTGCTTTGTCCTAAAACTCCTCATGAAGTGTGACTGGCAGCTGACCTGCAGGAATTACTTTACTAATCTCAAAATCCCAACCCAGTAGCTTGGTAAAAACCAGCAAATCAGCCCATTTTGAATAAGAGAAGTACCCAAAACAACTAACTGCACTTGCATACCTCAGATTTTTGAAAGCCAGAAAAACATATCCTTCCAATAAAAAAATTCACATAAATAAGTGCTGGTGGCAATCCTGGTTACAAATCCTGAGCCTGGAGAATGTCACCCCACCACCACCACCACCACCACCACCTACCAACCTGAAAGAATTTCGAGGTTGCCTTAAACTTGATACTAGTTAACTATACCAGGAGAAAGGGCATTTCTACAACAGAAGAATCACTGTATTCCACTCTTTCAGTTCCAGAAGGAGATAATGAGCCGTGCCCCATAGAAGCTGAGAGAAAGGCAAGTTCATGGCAAATAAAAACAGAACCTCTCCCCTGAAAAAAAAGAAATTAATTGGATGATCACCGAGAGCTAACATGAACACCCGTTCATCACCCTGGCTCGGTGACATCCTGTGACCCATAACTCCTTGCAAGGCAGGCCACCGCAGATGCGGGCTGCTCTCGTCCACTTACAACATTCACTGTGCGCTGTTCACTGGGCACCGCAGCCTTCCTTCACCATGGAGACGCCCCACAGGAAGCGGGAGGGCTCCTGGGCTCAGGCGTGTTCTTTCTTCCTTTCACAGAGAAGTGAGAAATACCTAGCATGGGAATAGAACAGAAGAGAAAGGAAAAGGTAAGTGCATCATCAAGTCACTTGTTACCGCAACAAAGGAAGTGCACAATCAATCGGACTATCGATAATTCACCAAAGACCATTTCCAGTACCTTTTCATCAAAAAGGTATTCGATATTTTGGCTCTTGCCCCAGGAGACACAGCAGCATGGCATGGACGGTCTTTCCCCTTGGATCTCCCCTGCCCCTTGTAAAGTTGAAGCCAATTCTGGGAGACTTCAGATGAAATCCCAGCTGAGGTGCAACATTGGAACAATGCCTCTGAATAAGCCACCTGATTTTGCTCTCTGCATAAAGGAGGGAGCGAGGACCTTCTGCCATTTTCATACCTCGATGGGTTGTTGGGAAAATCAATAAGATCACTCTTGCAAAGCACTCACAGTTCCTGAGAAGAAAGGCACTATGTAAACGCAAAGTGTTATTAGCGGTCATAAGCCTGTTACTGAGCTCTGAGCCAGAATAGAAAAGTCAGCTTGGCCAGTCATCAACAATCAAACATCCCTGGGGCACCCACACATCCAAAGTCCGCACGGGTCATCATGCTAAGGCTCCTGCTTCCAGAGGTGCTGACAGACGTCGAGGACAGAAAGGGAGGCGCCTGGAATATCGGGGAGAAAGAGAGAGGGCTGGGAGCAGGAAGCGAAGCGGCAGGGGGAGTGGAAGGTGGGTGAGAGAGGCATGTGCCGGCACCTCACTACACGGCTCCCTCAGATTGCTGGTCTGCAGTGGTGAGTGCACCGGAGGTTTGCGGGGCTGTGAAATTTTCCACTTGGCTGTCTGCCATTTCCGCCTACCGAGGAGAACACCAGCACACAGAAGAGGCACGCCGATATTCTACTGGAGAAGGACTGGATGCTTTTTGACTGTTCCTTTTAAAGAAAAGACCGATTTGTACCCCAATCGCTAATATTTTCCACACCTGGATTTTTAACATTTCTCCCTCCTTGAAGACAGAGCCAGGAACAGCTTTTCCTGGGCCAATATTATCAAGTTATTTTGATTTGTGAATTCTTGAGGAGCATACGTGAGGTATAGGAACTTATACGAGTGGCTTTGGGGATGACAAAAACCAGGATTTAAGTGCTACTCTGGCATCCTGTTTTCTTCCCAAATAGATCATCCACAAGGGCCAGTTATGCTTTCCTTTCCCAGTTATAAGCACACTATTAACACTGTGGGTATAATGGTTTTGAGGGGGAAAAAACGGTCCCCATCTCAAAAAAAAGGCAACAATGAATAATGTCATATCTTAGGTTTGGAACTGGTAAAACACTGACAAGTTTACCTCAAAACAAAGAACTAAAAAATGGAGAGAGAAAAAACTAGGACAGAAGGGAAAGGAGGTGTCTGCTACTAATATAATTAACCATGGCTTTTATAGTGAATACAGTTTACAAAGTGCTTTCTTATTAATTAATTCATTTGCTTGACAAATTTTTACTCGGTGCTTAGTATATCCACCAGGTGCTGTGCTCTCAATGGTCAACAAAAGTTACAAGGATCATACCTTTAAAGAGCTTGCTGCCTCAAGACAGACAAACGTTAAAGAACCATAGTATACCATTTTTAGTATGTGTGTAAAATTTGAACACTGGATAGGTATTATGTAGGAAAAACAGGCACTGTGATTTGCAATCATAATAGGGGCACCTTATTTAGCAGAAGCTCGGAAAGGCTTTTCTTACAAAAGAAACATTATAAGCGGAGAAATGAAAGGTGAACAGAAGTTAGCCAGGCATCGAGTTTCCAGGGAAAGGAAACAGCCTGTGCGTTATGTGATGTGATCTAGAGATGTACAACTAATTTCTGTTATTTCATCTTCGTTTTTTCCCTAGCCATTTCAACTGGATCTCCTTGATCAAGAAATGAGCAACAGGCTTTATATTGACCAGAGTTACTGTGGTGATCTTTCTGCAATATATACATATATCCAATCATTAAGTTGTACATCTGAAACTAAAAAAATGCAATAGGTCAATTATATCTCAATTTTTTTTTTAAAGAAGAGAGCAACAAGACTGTTCTTAATATCTTGGAATAAGAGATGATTCTTCTTTCTGACTGCCCGGGCCATCAGAACAACTCACACTCAGCGATTTCTAATAGAGAACACCACTCAGTGCAGGTATTATTCTTGATGTGACAGCAAAGGCAGACTCTGGCTTCCTAATGCGTCACAAGTCACCCATCATCACAAGAAATAAAAGGAAGCTTTCTGTTAACACCTGCATGCCACAGCTGGCGTTAAGAAAACCCTCCCCAAAAGGGCTAAAAACAGATCACATTACACACAAAGTCTGAAAAAAAATCTTCTCAGGACTTTGCATTAGGTTCCAAATTTGCTGGTCTCCTCTTGACTATCAGGATATTTATATATATACATATATGTACATTTATTTATTTCTCTCTCAGACTTAAATGGCATTTATGCCTACCTACAAGAGTGTCCTGTGAACCTTCTGTCTTGGTTCTTGGTTTGTTTATCTGTTTACTTGCCCGAGTGAGTAGCATGACACCAAGAAATAAAAAGCAACGGAACTGTTGTGTTCATCTGAAGTCTTTTCTTGTTCCCTATATCCCAGATCTGGTATAACTTAATTCTTCCGTTAAGGAAAATCAGTCATTCGCTTTCTTCATTCTACAAAACAAAGGCATCCTGAGACAGGCTCATTCACGTTCTCCCCATGAATGGAGTACGTTTGAAAGTCTGTTTGAAAGGAACAGGCCAAACTTTAATTTGAGTCTCTTTCCACTTAAGACACCCAGGATAAAGTGTACTTTCTCCTACTAGTTCATTATATAACCAAAAACATTAATAATACTCCAAGTTCCAAGTCTTGAAATACAAACCCTCACTTTGACTTAGTAGTTTTGACAAACTAGAAAGCTCAGAAAGAAAAGAGAGGGCAAGAAAAAGGAATTTTTGAAGCCACCAAACCTGGGAAATTATGCCAGGCTGACAGTTTCATCCTCTGTCCATCCAGAGAAGAAAATGACACAGTGCCAATTTCTCCTTCCCCTGACTGCCCACAGCACTTACAGCCTCTCCCACACATTTTAACCCAAGGTCCTTTTCAATTCAGCACTCCGTTATATTGTCTTTATACTCCACTGGGTTTATTTAAGTCTTGAAGGCTTGAAAAGTTTATAAGCTCCTTGATGAAAGAAACCTTGCCATGCCCTTCTCTAACAGCCTCCTAATAGTGTCTAGTAGAAGAGCCTGAATGTAAATTAAATGATCCATATCCAAAACCCGTTCTACAACTTAACCCATACTCCAAAGGAATCACTACTCTATAGCTAGAATTTAAGCCCTTCTCTCCTTTCGCTGTCCTCCAGGGACTTGGAGCTCCAATGATGCCCACCATCCAGATAAAAGTGCTCCATGGACTGGAGGACAATTAAGTTATGTTAGCCTTCTTTCTCCTGTTTTGACAGTCCATTCTATTGTTAGTTATTAATGGCTTCTGAACTACCATCTTCTTTGAAGATTTACAGCGATTTGCAACAGTTACCTCCCCTCGCCACCCCCCCCTACCACCACATCCCAGGCCACCAGGAACCTGGATCCTTGATTCTCACAGCTTTTCAAAAGCCAATAATAAGGAAACCTGTGTGATAAGTGGAGGGGAGATGTGGAGGCTCTGAGGCCATGGCTCTCAAACTTGAACCACCATCCGAAAAACCTAGCGGTCTTGTTACGCCATATTGCTGGGGTCCCATCCGCAGAATTTCCGATTCAGGATAGGGAATTCGGTATGAGGTGGGGCCAGGGACCTGGCATTTCTAACAAGTTCCCAGGTGATGTTGATGCTGTCGGTCCAGGGACCACACTTTGAGAACCAGTGCTGTGAGGGTAAGACTTTCTGTCAATTAGATAGCCCACAGAGGCTAAGGATCTTTTGAGTATATTTAATCACTATAAGATGGCTGCATTGGAAAGAATGACACCTGTGTATTCCAAAGAGGTGACAGATGACCAAAAAACCAAAAAGTCCCACCCACTTTATAATGTGGGAAAACTTTTGGGGGTTCTCAGTCTTGGGTCTCAGTCTGTTGTTCTCCTACAGGCTTCAGGTCCACCTGGGGTCAGTTTCGCCCTCCATCTCTCCTTCAATCTTTTCCTTTACTAGAAACTTCTCAGCTTACAAACGTATCAGTCATTGCCACTCATGAAAGACCTTCCCCGTACCCTGATGTATTATTCCCAAATGGCTGTCACCTCTCTCCTGCCCACCAACAAACATGTATAAATTCAATGCTAATATTTTACCAGGTACATCTTAAACTCTTGGAGCTTGACTTCTACTCCTTCTCCCCCTTTTTTCTTTGGTTAGTAAACTTTCTCCTCTTTCTTTCAGAATGGCTTCCTGCCTTCTAAAGGTAGTGTCCTTTCCCTAATTGACTTCTTTTATATTTGATATAGTAGGTCCTTCAATTCTCTTTTCTTTTTATTTAATATACCAGCATTTTTGCCTGAACGGCATCTTTTAGGCCCAACCTCTCCCCCGTTCTCTTTGTTATATGGGCTGAGATGACCTCATGCCTTGGCTCCAAAGATGGGCATGTGACTTAGGTCTGGAGAATTGGAATACATATATCCCTCTCACCATCATGACTGGTTTTACGGACAGACGCGGAACCAAAGCCCTGCCAGTCAAAGGCCTCTCTCGGACTGGCTGGAAATGAGGAATGAGCGCCCTCTCCTAGTGAGACCAAGGAGGCGTGGTCTACTAAGAGCTACCGGATGAGGAAAGCCCACTTAAGAATGAAGCAAAGCTAACAAAAAAGTCTGAGTCCTGACAATGGTGAGGCCCCTTGGATCCAGCCATGCCAACAGTTAGATTTATCCCTGGATTTTTCAGTTATATTGTAACAGACAAAATTCTAAAGTGGCCCCCCAAGTTGTCCTGTCCCCTAGGGCACACACACCTTCTCCTAGTTATTCAACCAAATGCTAATCTG